TCCTTCGTTTGTTTGTATAGCGTGGAACAATTGCTTCATATATGTTACATGTTTTTTGATGAAAAAGTACAATGTGAACAAAAGCATGCAAAGATCATTGTTGCACATTTGTCATTGCCAAATTATCCTCTATTATACATTATGATAATTGGACTGATTGTACATGTATGTATTGTCCGAAGGAGCAATAATAACAAGTGGAATAGTACGTTAGAGATCAATATGCGAGTTACTCCATCAAAGATAACAATATTTGCTATAAATTTGATCAAAATGTGTGATGAACTCTGAACAATTCTTAGTTTCTTGTGGTGCTCAGTTTTAGTTTCTTCTTTAAGCTAGTAAAGGAAAACTTGTAATAAAGTAAACTGTAAAATTTATAATGCTTTATGAAAATTTGCTGGTGTAGTGTTATTAAAGCAAAGAAAAAGGGTGTGGGACCCACAATAAGAAGTTTACACATGAGGCACCCCCCCCAGTTTTAGGGTTGAGGCATCTTTTTATTTTACTTTTTTAATTTATTTTTGGGTGGTCCTTATAATTTCTCGTATCTAACTCAGCTCCGTAGTTAATCTAACCCAACTAGTAATCCCCTTTACCTCACTGTGTGGGACCCACATGCACATTTATTAACCAGTGGAAAAAAAAACTTTCACATGTGCTGCCCTTATGATTTATTCTCCTATCACTAAAATCATAATTAATGATTAAATAAATAATAATAATTATTAAACAAATGCTTTTAAATTAGCTACAAACAACATCATTAATATTCTATTAATTGCTGCAATTTTGAGTGAATAAAATAATGGGTTAATGTCAAAAATGGTATCTTTGAAACTCTCTCCACTATAGAATTTTTTTTTTCCTAATATTAGAAAAAATGTTGGTAGAAATTAACTATAGTTAGGGTTTCAAAAAGCATGAATAAAGGTAGGTCAGGGTTAAGGAAATTAGTACAAAAAAAATCGAAGTGTAACCAAATTTGTGTATTTCAGTATTTGGGAAATTTTTATTTTTATTTTTGTTTAGCTCTGAGGTTTGACTATTGGTGAGCTAGGGTTTTCCCCCTCCTCTTTTAAGATTTGGGTGGGAAAATAATGGGGATTAGGGTTTCCGATGGCGGCTTTTCGATTCAAATTCCTTCAAATTCGCGGATTTTCTCGAGATATCTAGTATCATTTGCACCAAATTTCTTTTCTTGCCTTGATCTATAGCTAGAGATCGAACAATTAGGGTTTCTCCAGGCTCAAACCCAAAATTTATCGAGTAATTGAACAGTTCATGTAGATCGGGTGCTTCTGATGTCAAATTAGCTTTAGCTTGACTTGGAATTCTAGGGTTTACTTGCTGAAGGTTTGAGCTTTGAGAATCAGAGGTATCTAGTGTGAATTTGGATTTTTCTTTTAGCAGCTTGCTGTCTGTTTGGACCGTAATTGTGCTTTTTTCTAGCTATTTCTTTGTTGTTGAAGTGTTCTAGAGATGAAATTCTATACTTTGTAAATTTGTTCAGTGTTTGAAAAACTTTGCTGGAAATGCTTATGGGAACGTTTGTAGATATGATCTGTCGTAAGAATTTCCATACTTTGTACAAAAGGTCACCAGATATGAATTAATGCAAAGTTCAGTAACAGAGTTGATCATATATCTTCCTAAATATATTTTTACTTTCATGGCTTTGCTTGATGTGATGAGAAGGTCTGAGTACTTAATGTTCATCTTAATTGTTGATTATATTGTTTAATTAAGTTGTCTTTTGACTAATTTTGTTTATGAATTAGGATGTTTGTAGAGCTAACTCCAACGGATTCTAGAAGCAGAGACTGTTTTATTGCAAGTATTAGACGTGAAAGCTGAGGTATAAACAGTCTTTGGTGGTGAATTTTTACAGTTAGAAGGTCAGAGATGGAATGTAATAGGGACGAAGCCCTGAGAGCAAAGGAAATGGCAGAAAAGAAGTTCACCGCTAAAGACTTTTCAGGTGCCAAGAAGTTTGCCTTGAAGGCCCAAAATCTCTTTCCAGAGCTTGACGGTATCGACCAGATGATAGCAACTCTAGATGTTTATCAGGCTGCTGAAATTAAAATTAACGGCGAGAGTGATTTGTATGGAATCCTCAGTTTGAATCCTTCAGCAGATGAGGAAACCGTGAAAAAACAGTACAGGAAATTGGCCCTTCAGCTGCATCCTGATAAGAACAAGTCAATAGGCGCCGAGGGTGCTTTCCAACTCCTTTCAGAGGCTTGGAGTGTTCTCTCTGACACGAGCAGGAAATTAACTTACGACCAGAAGAGGAATGCGAAAGTCTCTCGTAATACTAAAAATGGCTTCCATACTAAGAGGCCTCGAAAGTGCTCCACTTCTTCTGTTCCAATGCCAACATCAAATACATTTTGGACCTCGTGCAGCCGATGCAAGATGCAATATGAGTACCTTAGGGTATACCTTAATCACAACCTTTTATGTCCGAACTGTCATGAGGCGTTCTTGGCGGTGGAAACAGGGTTTCCATCTAATGGAGCTGGTTCAAATTTTTCTTGGACAGATCCTCAACAGTATCATCAGAAGAAGACCAAACACAAGAATGCTTATGGGTCCTCAGTGTTTCAGCATGGAGCAAATGTTGATTCATATAACACTCAGAATTTCCAGTGGGACCCATCATCTGTAGCTTCTCAGGCTGCTGATGTGGTTCATCAGACTTATGCAAAAGTGAAAAGGCAGAGAGAGGAAGTTCAGACAGCAGCTCGAAGGGAGGAGGCTCTTCGGAGGAAGAATTCTAATTCTAAGAGGAGCATCAGTAGTTCAGGATTTTATAATGCCGGTGCTGATGGCAATGTGCGTAGAGTTGGTAGGCCTTCAAAGAGAAGTATCGCAGAGGAAATTGGAGGTGCTGCTGGGACTCAGCAAGTGTTTTCGTGCAGTGGCAAAAGAGAAAATATAGATGCTGGAATGGAGAGGGCTCCTTGTGGCCCAGGAGAAACTAGTAAGATGAGACTACCCATGAGAATAAACCGGTACAATGAGATTGACAAAAGAAATTTGTTAATGGAGAAGGCTAAGCGAGAGATGTGTAAGAAGTTACAAGAATGGAATTCAGCTGCAGCTGCAAAATTGGCAGATAAAGCAAAAGCAAAGCAAAGACTGAAACAAAAGGATAATCGTAATGTGGAGACAGTGTCTAGGGCTGTCGGGGATGCTATAATTCGGAGAAATAACAGCAAATATGTTTCTTTTATGAAAGAACCCACTGATAATGGCAAGATCGGTTCTGCTAAGGAAGTGACAAAGACTGCTACAATTGTTGTTCCTGACCCAGAGTTTCATGATTTTGACAAAGATCGCTTGGAAAGATCTTTTGAAGGAGAGCAGGTCTGGGCTACGTATGACAGTGAAGATGGAATGCCTCGTTTCTATGCCCTAATTCAAAAAATCATCTCTCTGAGACCTTTTAAGCTCCGCATGAGTTTTCTTAATTCAAAGAATAACGCTGAATTCGGGCCAATGAACTGGGTTGCCTCGGGGTTTGCGAAAACTTGTGGAGATTTCAGAGTGGGCAGATATGAAATCACTGACACAGTTAATATATTTTCTCACAGAGTTCGATGGGAGAAAGGATTTCGTGGGGTTGTAAAAATTTTCCCTATGAGAGGTGATACTTGGGCCCTTTATAAAAACTGGTCACCAGACTGGAACGAGCTCACGCCGGACAATGTGATACACAAGTATGATATAGTTGAAGTTATTGATGACTATAATGAGGAGCAAGGGGTGCTCGTTACTCCTTTAGTGAAGGTCGCAGGTTTCAGAGCAGTTTTCCATAGACACATGGATCCAAAGGAAGTGAAGAGGATTCCAAGAGAAGAGATGTTTCGATTTTCTCATCAAGTGCCTTCACATTTGCTTACTGGAGATGAAGCTCATAATGCACCTAAGGGATGTCGTGAGCTTGATCCTGCTGCTATACCTTCGGATCTTCTTCAGGTAATTACGGAATTTAAGGAGGATGAGGCCACTGAGACTGCTGAACAACAGTCAATATGAAGATATAATTTAGCCTACTGAGCTTCTCTAACCTCAATTTTCCTCCAATATGAAGACATAACTTAGCCTTACATTTTTCTTGGATTTGAGATAAGTAACATCAACTCTAAAGATTCCTGCGATTAATGTTGTTACTCATGGTTCCAAATTTACCTTGTATTTGCACTGTTATTCTATATTCTTCTGTAAGTTAGTTAATATTTCCTCATATATGTTTGTAACTTCTTGGTGTTTAATGAAAAATCATAAGCACATTGCAAGAAATCGTCAAGGAGATTAATCATTTCAATGTTGCTTTTATATTGTAATGCTCGTTGGATTTACCTCAAGACTTCGTTTTATAACGCAGTAGAATTAGACTACAGTTTGAATGTTTGTTTTGTTTTTATCTCCTTGTATGTAGTATTTAATGGTTTGATCCTTCTGTAGTCTACTAATTTGGAGAAGAATATGTAGTTTTTTATTTTTTATATCGAAATTAAAATTTACATATTACATCATAAATAAAGTTGCTTCCTTCTATGTAGTACTTAATGGATCCTCTTTTGTCATCCCTCATTGTTGTTATGGAGGTGCATATGCATTTAGCAGTTGATCCTGATTTCAAAGAAAATAAATATTATTCTGCCAAAATGAAATATGAGGATCAAAACATCAACGCCATGAACTCTGGAAATTCAAAGTAGACACATTCTGGAAACTTACATAACCTTAATATCTCAGGAAATTTCCTAGATGGTCTATTACTGCCTCATTACTATTTTCAGAGGTTTTCTTAGTGTTAGCAAATTCAAAGCAGACACATTCTGGAAACTTACATAACCTAAGTATCTCAGGAAAAATCCCTAGACTGCCTATTACCGCTTCATTACTATTTTCAGAGGTTTTCTCAGTGTTAGCAATTAGTGTTTATTAAATGAAGATGCTTTTTTTCCTAGACAAGTTTCATCTGTAGAAATTATCTTGATGAAATTTGTGACCTTTTTGCTTCCCTGAATTTGTGATTTGAAAATATTTTTAATTCTCAATGATTTTATAATTGTTTGCATAGGTCTCATCTACTTGCTCTCTGCAACCCTCAATTGCCTTTGCTCTCCCTCAACTCGATTATGTACTTCTCTAAAACAATTAACAGATGATAAATGTCAATATTTCTTTTCTTGTTCTTTTTTCCCTCATATTGGCATAATTCAATTTGGCTCCCTTGCGTCAGGTTTGGTCTGGACGGACAAAAACGTTTCAGTTGGTATATCTCTTCATTTTCAATATATATTCATTGGTGGATAAGAAACTCAATAATAATTTTCAAATCACAGTATATATTTATACTCTACAACATGTGTAGGACAAAGAATCACTCGACATCATCTCTCCTTAACCTGTGATTTTCCCCCGAAAGAATAACCTGTCATAATATGAGAAATTCTCAAATTACATATGAAATTAAAATTAAGTTTGTTGTTCTCCATCTGATATCGGAGCCTCATGCATGCTCACATGCTGGAGCTCTATTTCCCACATAAAGGTCTCATGAATGGGGCTTAATTGCTCAGTGCCTCGTATTTTCGTTTGGACAGCGTCATTGTGGGCTGCATGTATACTGTTGTTTAGATTCTAGCTTTTCTAAAACCTATAATGCTAACAACAGAGTTTTCCTGTCAATTGGAACCAAAACATGTCAGAACTCCCAAGAACCACATGTGATGGTCAAAGGATATTTCACCCAGAGTGATGTAACAAATTTCGTCCAAGTTTTTCCAGTGTCATCTCGCTTCTGCAAGGTCCACTTTGAGGTGCTTATATAGAGAATGGAATCACAGCAAGGCAAAGTAAAATGATATCACTTGGCAAACAGATTTCTTTAGGAATGGTATTGTGAGGATGCATCGCGTTATTCATGTAGACTTTTTAGGGTTTTTTTTTAATTTATCGACAAGTGTAGATATCTGTTCACGTAGACTTTCTAGAACCCCCCACCCACCGCCATCCCCCCCTCCCCCAACCCCCACCCCCAACCCCCCACCCCCCCTCAGAACGAACGACAAGTTTTAGATATCCGGTCTTAAGGCCATAGCATTGTGATGATAAATCTCAAGTTCTAATTTTGTAGCAATAGTGGAACATGACTATTTTGAATATGCTTAGGGGGTGTTTGGTTCAATAGTGAGTCAAAATAGGATTATGAAAAGGATGTTTTTTATGGATTTCTTCCTAACTATAAAAATTCTGAGGATAATTTTTTGTTTTCATAAAATGCTGTGGAATTCCATTTTTTATTTTTCTATGTTTGTTTCATAACATGAAAATATAGAATCCAACTTTATAGAAATTCTTCAATTCCTATTCTTTTCTTTTGTTTAGAATGAGAAATTTTTGGGATAAATGGCCGTTCCAAGCAATTAAGAGATGACAGTTCCAAGCACAGCTAAAAAATCGAAGAACGAACCTCGAAATCGAACCACAATAGCCCTTCCAGCCAAAAAATCGAACCACAAATTTGAAGCAAAAAATCACAGAACAAAATAAAAGCTCAAATCACTAGATTCAATCTCATAATCAATTCGCAAAATCGAAAAAGAGGAATGTTAGATCCCTAGGTGATTTCAAAGAGGGAAATCTTCAAATCTGCTCTGAATGGCCGAGTGTGGATAAGGCGCAGAAGGACAAGATTGGAGGCGAAAGGAAGTTAGTGAGAGAAAGGTAGGAGGTTTCTAGGGTTTTCATAGCGGCGGATTACGTATAAGAGAGAATGGGGACCGAGTGAGAATAGTATATTGAGAAATAATCAATTGTGTCAGTTTTTTAACCCAAATCCACCCGAACCTATATGATTTGGGTTTCTACAGGAAAAACCTCCCAATTTTATCACATTTATAGATATCCATATCTATAAAAAATTTATGAACCAATCTTAGAAATAGAACACCATTAGAATTATTTATTTATAGTTTTACCCCTATCAGATACAATTCTTATTCCTAATCTATAAAAAGAGAGAAATAGACACCCCCTTAGTTAACATGAATCACTGAGCAAAAGTCCCCTACTTTCCATGCAAGTGAAAAATACTGAAGAGAAGGCATTCAACAAAATGCCATTAATTCCTAAAATAGAAACAATTTGCCCCTATCTACTGCTTTGATAGTCCATATTGTGCAATATTGGAATCAAAGATTCTCAACTTCTGCAATATTTGTAGTGTCACAATTCAGTAGAGCGAACTCTTCTAACTTTATTCGCTGCGGGTGATCCAGACGGTTGGAAGATTCTAATATGGCTTTCACGGTCTCGTATTCGATCCAGAGCTAGGCTATCCAAATTAAATAAATAAAAGAAAAACAAAAAAGAAAAAAAAAGAAAAGGAAAAAAAGCCCTTCTAACTTCTTCAGCAATACAAATGACTTGCAATCATTCTATCGAAATATTTGATCCAAAGTAAGCTTAAACAATAAAACTACAAATTAAATGAGTAGTGAGAATAATATCTCCATTGACTGATGATTTCCTTCTAACTTCTTCAGCAATACAAATGACTTGCAATCATTCTATCGAAATATTTGACCCAAAGTAAGCTAAAACAATAAAACTACAAATTAAATGAGTAGTGAGAATAATAACTCCATTGACTGATGAATCTCAATATAGAAAATAATGTCAGCTAATGAGATATCAGTACTATGAAAATAAGCAACAACAATATGAATACACAATAAGTGTTACGAAGTCAATAATTGTTTCAGCCTCTCACTCAGAACAATAACAGGGTCCTGTTATCAGCATCTTATAGAACCACGTCAGCCTGAAGGCAAATATTTTGTTCAGTAAACCAGATCATGATAAATTTGAGAAAAAAGTGAAAATTTAAAATATCATAAATATCCGTTTTAGGATAACGTGAAAACATCTATCACATTAAAAATATAAGAACTATGTACATTACACAACACAAACGATAATTTCAGAAATTGAAAGGATGAAGTTAGATATAACAAGTGATGCAGCACTGACATCAAAAACTGACATAGATTCATATGCATCAACGTTCATCGTAACTTTTAGTCATGAAGTCACAATTATCACAAATCTTGTTGGATACAAAATTCGGGTTTGTCTAAATCTTGTACACAATAATAGTCTTGAAACCAGAATAGAACAGCTGTGATCCAAAGTTTTCTCATGCACACAGTAACAGTCTTCTAACCCAGCTAAAGCCGGGATAGAACATTTACAGTCTATGCATCCTTTGATTCTGTAAGCTAAAATACTACTAGTACACAACGAAGATTTTAACTTCTGCCTACAACTAAAATCCAAAGCCCGCACCAAATGTGTGCTTAACCATCATCCTCATTGCATTCTACTGTAAGCTACGTCAAATTCATCTCAAAAAATTAGAGCCAATTGACAAAATCCAGCGATGACGGTAATATGCAAATTAAAATACATCTTTAGAAAATATTTTTAGTTTAATACAATTTTAAGAGGGCAAATAAAAAGGTACGTCCATAAGCTTAAGAGGTGGACTAAGCAATTCTGTTGTTGGCTCATAATCCAAAGGAAATCAATTCTTACATCCGAATAACAAGTGAAAAAACACAGCATGCAACATGCACAAACAGAGAGAACAGATTTCAAGCTAAAAGGATTCACTCCTTATATAGAAATGCTAACTATTTACGAAAGATTGACCAAATATGCAACTAATACACAAAAGAAGCTAGAAAATAACATACAAAATCAAATAATTCATGTTTTAACTTGCTGGAGGTTGGAAGAACAAATTAACTTTATCAGCATATTATAGACCATAGCAGTTTTTTGACACAAAGAAGACACAACAGAGTTTAAGAACAGATATGAGGAATAATTTGGTGAATATTGTTCTTACTCATTTAGTCACCTTAACAACTTAAGGTTTCTCATTGATTAACGTTTCATATTTCCACATTAGACCCGTTAAAGGCTTATAGGGCCATTAGTTCATGAACAATTTAAGAGAATGGTTTAAGTAAATAAGCAACACGGAACAAGCATACAGCATACAACATTACAATAAGGAAGATGTAGATTAAACCAAACTAAGATCCTTCCATAATATAAACTAACAACAGAACACCAATTAAAAAACAAGATAACTAGCTCGTCCCCTCACCCATTATTCAGTTTAGACACGCAAAAGAACAGATAAAACAGATACATTACCTATCATAAATAAACCTAATAGCTTCTCCTTCCATCTCCTTCAGTAATCACATCCTTGAATGCGCCACCGCTTGGTATCATAGGCAGCACATGCTCCTGATGTGGCACAATTATATCCAACAAGTATGGTCCTGGCGTATCCAACATCCTCCGTATCGCG